CTCTTTAAGAATACATGGCTGGTGCTAAGAAAATCTTCAGGAGCCAAGTATTTTGAGAATTATAAAGTGATGTTATAACAAGGTCAGGAGTCTACGTACACAGGTTTTAAATTACTGCAATAGCCTATAACAGAGTCCTATAAAAGGGATGAAAGGTACTTCGTTACAACATTGGAAAAGCAAACTTAGGTGCTTCTGAGACCAGTAGGTATAATTTGTATGGCTTCTTCAGGTTTGTGTTAACTGCACAGAGTTGGCTAGCTTGGTCAGAGGTGAAAGAATATTTCTTGGGAAATTAGTTAATGAAATAAACCATTGGAAATGAACTTTCAGTGACTTATACCCGACACCCTGCTACATTAAAGTTCAGTAAAGTAAAGCATTTCTTTTTCCATTTCTCTATTCAAGTCAGGTGATTTGGAAAGTCATACTACCAGTGGTACATGCCAGGAAAGAAAAACAACAAGATAAAACCAATTGCTTTTCGTTTAAAATAAATTCTGAAGACCGGATGCCAAACCATGAGTTATATTAAATGGGTGGGCTAACTCATGTCATGTGCTCTCAATTATAGCCCTATATAAATCACAGTAAAGTCTTGTTTTTACCTTCAGATTTTTTTTCCATCCAGATACAAAACGCTTCCCACCTAAGAAGCCAGTGCCCTACAACAACCCCAGGACAAGTACTGTGGGTATCCTTAGAAAAATGAAAGCATTGTTAACAACACACCACTGATCAAGGGGAAAGTGCCTTTGTACTCAAAGGTCCAATTGGTATTTGTGGCCACCAGGCACAGCAGCTTTCATTTCTCTTAGCACTAGTTCCAGAGCAACGTAGCCAGGTGCCATTTTGAAAGGAAACTGCTGTAACTAGTCCTAATAGCTCAAATCAGTACTTTCCCAAGTGAAAAGACAGGCTACCCGGAGACATGTCAAAGACTGAGGTGGGGAAGTCAAAGGAGAGAAAAACCAGGAAACTAGAGCTGTCTGCTCCCCAGATGACAACACAGATGTTATATTTTAATATACCTGACCTATTGGGTACTACTAACACACTCATGTATTTTCCTGGGGGAAACTTGTAGTTTATGCAGTTTTCACCCTTGAAAGACCCACATCAGAGACAACCGCCATTCTTCTGTAATGGTGGCTCATCTCATCTCATCTCACCTCGCTGCACAGCCTTGCTGCCGCTCAGCTGTTTCCCTACACGAGTTTGTACCTTTGTCTCTCTTCTTCTGCCACATCTTATTAACCGCACTTGAGTTGAATGTGGGTGGGCTCATTCCAGGACACAGTTACCCTTTATGCATATTTTTAAACATTCAAAACACGTATTGTATACGGATACTACATAAGCATAAAAAGCATAAACAGATAAACTGTCCATTAATGAAAAATGGGAATGGGGATGAGGGAGGGGTATAAACAAGGTTTCAAATATGTGCAAAGTTTGATTTTAAAAAGAAGAGATGAAGTAAATATGGCAAAACATTGAACATTTTAAAATCTAGATGGTGGGTTGGTTTATGAGTGTGACCCTGAGTTTTTCTGAATGTTTGAAATAGTTCATAAACATTTTTAAAAGAAAAAACATACCGGCATATTTAAGAACCAGGAATCCCATAGATATCTAACTACATTAACTCATGAAAAAAAAAATCTAAAAGTCATCTAATAAGTACGTCTAAGAGTGATGGATTTAATACTTTTCATCCAAGGAGAACAGAGATTTGCGATTCATTGACTATCATATTTTACATATTTGTTCATAAGTCCACGGGCTAGGTATTACTTTCATTTTACAGATGAGGAAACTAAGGTTCAGAAATTAATTTGGCTAGTGATGTGATGAATTAAGCAGTAAAGTCATGATTCAAAGCCAGGTTCAAAGGCTGGACTCCAAGGCTCACATTGTCACATCACACTGCCTGACCTGATAAACTAGCAGATTCACTTCCAGAGGAATGACGGGCCACAGGGGTGAGGGACTCACAGATTCGACAGGGTGCTAGGTTCCTTCCTCCCTAAAGTTCTAACCAGAATGTTCTCTAAAAGGAGCTTTCAGCCCACACTTTCTCTGGTGCCCAGGTTGTCACAGTGTCTGCATTAGTCAATTGGGTGACCTTAGACTTAAGAGCAATCACCAAACTGCCTCCTTTTGCTAACAGGGCAGTGGCTGTGAGGACCAAACATTGGCCAAGTTCTTAAAAACAAAATGCAGCCAAACTATGATATCATAGCACCTGTCACACTACTTTGTAATTATTTACATACTTGTCTATCATCCGCACCCCCTGCCCAAGGAGAAACCCCCTTCCAAGACTAGAAATCCAGTGAGAGCAGGAGTCTTTTTATTCTACTTACCACTGGAACCTCAGCACCTAGCAGTGGCTGGCATAGAGCAGGCACTAAATAGTTGTTCAAATAATCAAGTACTAACTAGGTAGCCATTGAAAATAAGGCAAAAGATAAATTACAGGCAAAATTTCATAATACATTAAGTGCATAAAGCAGGATACTTAAATAAAATCCAAGTCTTGTAAAACTGTACATACTAACTAGCCCTCAGTGTTGCTCAGGAGCATCTTAGCCACAGGTAAATAAGTAAACAACTGTAGCCTGACTCTGAAACAGCCTATAGAGTGAAAGCCCATGTGAGAAGGAACTCATTTACATAATATAACCAGCCATTTGGAGCTCCTGCCCATGTCACACCTGAAGGTGCAAATTTGAAGTCATTTTCTGTCCACATCATGGAATTCCCCATGGCCAGACTCCTCTTAGTCACAGTCACAGGATCTCTTGCATCCAGGTTTTAGGGGTGACCTGCCACCCATTACTTCAAAGTACACCAAGGACATATCTCCAAAGTAAACATCATGCAGGCCACATGGCCTATACCATGAGTCAAACCATTCCAAATGAAACTTTTATTTATGGAGAAATACACATAGAAAATCCACAAGGATGGATATAAACCAAAATCTTAAAAGGAGTTATCTCCTATAAGATGAGTAAGTTCTGGAGACCTAATGTACAGCATGGTGATTATACTTTATAATAATGTACTGTATACTTAAAATTTGCTAAGAGTATATCTTTAGTACTCTCATCACAAAAATAAAAAGTAACAATGTAAGGTGATGGATATCAAAACATCACATTATACACCTTAACTATATGTCTTTTATCAATTATACCTCAATGAAGCCAGGAAAAAAAACTTTTAAGTTTTCTCCTATCATAGGCTTGTGATGGCATAATTCATTTTTTGCATGTCTGTTATCTGTATTTTTCTACAATGAACGTATCACTTCTATAATAGTTATTAAATACTTAATGAATGAACAAAGCCAAAAGTCATATGGGTAGTGCATGGGACAGTGTCTATATTCCGAAATTATATTTCAAGTTATTTTGATTTTTTTTTTTGGCAGCTGGCTGGTATAGGTAACCAAACCCTTGACCTTGGGATTACACGGCCATGTTCTAACCAACTGGGCTAATCAGCCAGCCCCTCAAGTTATTTTGAAACAGGGACTGTCTACATTATTCAGCAACATCAAAGTGGCCCAACATTCATGTGCCAGAGTAAAAACAAAGGGGTGGTCTCTGGTCTTAAGTAAGGGAGCAAGATGTGCACACACAAAAATGTTACACCAAGTGGTATAAGTAACTATTACCCAAAGTATATAAGCACGAGGTGCTCCATACATTTTGAGAAAGGGCACTTATTTGTGAGCTACAGCAAGGATGGAGGCCTTCATGGAAAAGGGGACCTTGAACAGGACCCTGCAGAACGATTCCAATTAAACCTGAAAAATAGTGGTTCAGAAAGAAGAAAATCCTGAGCAGTCTGAGATTTCATAATCAACATGAACGTTTAAGATACAGTGAAGCAAGTAGCCTGGCTCTCATAGCAGAACCCCAGTGTTTTCTGGAGAATGGTAAAAGGTAAAATAATTGAAGATGGGAGGGTGCATCAAGAGCAGAGAGTAGACTCAGGGTCAAAGGAATTTGGTGAAAACTGAGTTAAGCAAATTTACAAGGATATTTTTACTGCTGCAGTTCTCCAACCTCTCAACAGATCAACGTGCACCGAGTACCCACTGAAGTAAGGGAGCTCATGTTATTTGACGGCAGAATCCTTTTTTTCACTGAAGAGGTTAGTGCATAGAAAACACCTTAGGAAACACCAAATATTGCCACCACCACACTCCCATCCCACCCACTTATGAGAATTCCCAGTGACAGTCAGTCCCACCCTCATTCTCTGACAGCACTTTGACAGCAGTCCCTTCCTGATGATCCAAAGGCTTTGGAAGAAGCATATCTTCTTATGAAGTTAATGAAGGGCAACTATGAGCAATGGGAGCGATTAGAGAACTCCAAGTACGGCATGATAAGAAAAATAAGTTCCTGAAAAGTTTTGTGTGGTAGTGAGCAGTTTTTGCAAATTACAGGTGGCAATGCTATAAAATCAGTTCAGGGGGCCATAACGCATTTCTTTAAAATAACAAAAAAAAAAAAATAGATGTATGACATGCAGGAAGGGCAAGTTTCATGAACCTTTTGTCTGTTATACATATTATATTTATCTCTGTGTTCTGGACTGTATGGCTCAAAATGTATTTCTTAGGTCACAGCTAAAACGTTTGAAAGTCACTGCTCTAGAAGACAGAAGACTTAGGGCAGAGACTGGAGGTTGCTGCACTCACCCAGACAGCTGTGGGATAGTAGCAGTGTGAAGAAAAGACAAACAGGAGAGACACTTGAATCTGGATAAAGGAAACCAATAAAAATTCCAAGGTAATACACCTGGGTAATTTGGGGGAAAGACGGCTATAATCATATAAGAAGGCAACTGTGAAGGAGAGCTGCTTAAGGAGTATGTAGGGAGACACATTTGGTTTTAAGAGACAAGAAGAGACATCCAGAAGGAACTACAAAAAAAGGATGTCCCACAACACCTCAAAAACGGGTCCACAACACTGCTTTAATTTGGTCACCTTTAATAATACTATATTATTTCAGTTATACAATGTTTTAAATTTATGCTGTCCTCAACCAAATGGTTAAGACTTTTAAAAGCACATAATCACACTAAAGAACCGATATCATCAGTTAGTCCCTGACTATTACATTATTTACCATCTCAAGGGCTTCACTTTGATTTAGCATGTTATGGATAAGTACAGAAGGGTCTGTCATTTGGCTCTCTGTGCGTGGACGATGATTTCATCAGCACAGGGACGTATGAGCTACATGAGCTTTACTGCACTGGCACCACTAGGAGAGCACCATGCCAAAAGGAGCTCACAGGCTGTCATTCAGTCTGTGCCCGTCCTGAATGAAGCTGCACAGTTGGCTCAAGGGCCCTGCTGAGCCATTGAGGGGCACGAGGGAAATGGCTGAACTCCAACAGATCACTTTATCCAGAACTGAATCCCCAACGTACATCAGAGACACAATTAAACAAGGCAGAGTGGACTTAAAGGACAAATGTCATCTTCAACATGCCCCTGATGAAGAATTTTTTGTTTAACAGAAGCCTTTCTAAGTAGTAAATTACACTAATTATCAACATTTAAAAACATCCAACATGTAAGGTTCTGAATCTGATTTATTAGACAGCACAGAAATAGCAGATTTAGATGTTACAAAAAGAGCTCAAACTGCTCATAAACAGCAACTAGGCTTGCTTGGGGGAGGGAGGGAAAATTCTTCAGACTACTGCACAGGACACAAGGACTCCTCATCCTAAACAAAATATTAAAGGGTACACAGACGTGTTTCTCATAAAACAGAAAACAGAGAAATCCACATACTAAATAACATATACACAATGATTATAACACATCCCTTAGGGGTTAAGCATGTATTTGTAGGAAGCAAACAAAGCTTTCCATAGAGAAACCACTTTCAGGAGATGATTACGTGGACCTGCAATGAAGAAAATACATTTCAAAAGATAGGTTCAGACTTAAACTAAGTTTTCACTGAAATACTTAAAAAATAAAAACAACACCCTTCTCTGTACCAAAAGAATTTTTTAAAAATACATCATGGATAAAATAAATTTCAGTAAAGGTCCAAGTCCTATTCAGACATACATTTTCAAATAACATAAACTAAAACTAGTAAGTTTGACAACAAAAATACTATTTGAAACTACCTAGAATAAGCCAAGCTAAGTTCGTGTTCTGCTTTAAGGCATTACATTGAAATGAATATCATCCTCACAATAATTTTTTTCTTCTTAACCTTAATCACCAGCGGCTGGACAACTGAAATGGACATGAAAACTATATAAATGTCAGAGAAATATGTAAACCTCATTAATGTTTCCAAAAATTCATTTAGAGATAGAAACAGGTCCAAATAGATGCCTGTCTAAATGTACTGCAATTACGTTACAATTATTTTTCCAAATACACAGATATGCTCTGTCTTTTCTCAGTTCATTACTGACTCAAACAATTTGCTCTTCTGGGATCAATTGTTTGCTAATAAATAATTGTTTACAGTCACAAAATGATGTTAGGAGGTTTTCTTATTAGTTTTCCTTCTGCACCCTAATAAGATTGAAAACTAGCTGATTCCCAAGAGTCTAACCTTAACCTCGCTTTGTTTAACAGCCCAGGAAATGATGAACCATCTGCTTCAGAAAATAATGGACGGCCAAGAGGAAATATTGTTTAATTGTAGATTAACCTCCTCATGAGGCAGTCTGAAGCAGCTTTAGAATTAGCAACTATAACCAGCAAAGAAACAAATGGCTCAAGAGCCTTTTCCTCTACCATTTAAGGTCCAGAAAGAATGCAAAGGGATTTTTATTATCTATATTTATTTACAAACGTGTATTTCCACAGTGGAAACAAAAATCATAAAGGTCAAAACTGATTCTCAAAAGTGTAGTCACCTGCCCTCCAGTTTTGTTTGCCCAAATACCTTTAATGCAGCAAACCATCAAACCATCTCATGCACTTAAGAAAATGTTTATTAAAAAAAAAAAATCAATAAAAACCTCTTTTCCATTATTTTCAGGTTCTTATAATATTAAAATTAATATTTTTCCCTGGTTTCTTTGTTAAAAGTAATAAATCCACCATTGGGGAGTACGAATTGTTTTATTATCATCAACATGGCACTTAAGTAAATGAAATCTTGTCAAGTACATGGTGACCTACAAGTTCAAAAGAAAAAAAGAACAGCATGAGATCAAAATGGCTGGCCAGGACAAGAGATACAAAAGTGACAGATTAAATGCAAACACAGCCCTTTATCCAACAGGCTTCACATGCTAAGACTTTTCTAAAGTCAAACCTGTAAAATCACATATGATATTAAATATTTAATACTTTGCCCTCAATTTAGTGAGAGTACCATACCCACTTTAATTCAGAAAAGTACAGGAATCCTGAAAACACTGTTATTCTACAAATATTTATCAAGGACTTTCTTCAAGGGCTTGAGGAGAGAGGAACAGGGAACAGGACAAAGACACTTGGGAGAGGAATTTTACAGTTTAATACGTGCCTAAGTCTTAGTTTTCTTTTAAGCCTGGTGAAGGTAATTAAGTAAAAAGCTTTGCCCTGTTGGTATCAAAAAAATGTAAATGGTTCCTTTCAGACAACAGTTACAACAGGCAAAGACATCTATGAAAATCTGAAAACTAAGGAGATTCGCTATTCCAGGCAAGGCCATATTATTCTAGGTTTCCAATAAGACCTGAAGGTCATTCACTTTGTGTAAATATTAAAGAAACAACCTCTGTGGAGAGGAAAGATTTTTGGCAGTTCAAATTCTTAAATATCTTAAACAGAATTTGCTAAAATAAATTATTCTTGAATTCCTCAACTTAATTTTGAAGCAATGAGTTAGTAATAACTCCAGAGATTCAAATAATAGAGCCTATTCAAGAAGAATGAGAGTTTGACATTCTTCTCTACAAAACAACTAGGCACAATTTTATCCATCAGACGTCTATCAACCTACGGATATTGAAAGCTTGGGAGAACAAGATAAAATCAACTCCAACCCTACAGTCAGCTGTAATATCGAGCAGGCATCAACAATGCTATTCATGAATTTAGAAAAATTAATAAATCCTGGGTTGAATGCAAGAAAAGGCTCAAATACAGGTGAAGCATACTCACTTGGGTTTTGTTTCTGCATCTGTCACTTGGCGAATAAAGATACCATCTTCAGGATGTTCTGTGTCATCCATTTCATACATATATGATGATGCTATTGCAAGGGTAGTCCCATCATTACTGAAGGCAAGTGATGCGATGCTGGTGGGGTACCGATGGAACTGGCACAGTCGCTTTTTGTTAAACGGATCCCAAATATTTACAAATCCATCAGAACCACCTGCAAGTAATTTCAAAATAGCTAAAATGGTTCTTAATAGCAGATACAGAAATAGCCATTATCTTAACAAACAGTTCATTCTTAGGGCCAAAAGATGTTACATATTCCCCAAGAAGTATTGTACCAGATTTTCTTCCCTACACACCACAAAAAGCAAGCATAAATTTTCAAAAAATTCTGCCTAAGCATAAATAAATAGTATTCAATTAATTTTAAAAAGCACCTTATCTTAATAATTAGATATAGGTTAGCATGCCATACTTCACCTGTGGCAAATGTATTGTGGATATTGTGAAAGGAAATGGCATTCACCGGGTAAATCTGCTCAATATTATTTTCTTTCAGTCTGTGACATTTGAAGGCATACTTCTTCTTCTGTACCTCAGGGCTTGGGTCCAAGTACTCAACTGCCACTCGGCCTTCAATAGAGCTTAATACATAACCCTGCCAAGAGGGAACCAGAGGACAAAAATGGTAAAATCCAACCTCCAAAAATAAGGTACTAATTCCCAAATTTAACGCACACTAAGGAAAGATGATTATTTCAAAAGAAACGTTATTTAAAAGAAAGCACAGCCAGGTTGTAACAGTGTTTAAGATGTGCTAACATCGTTATGACGATTCTAAAAAGTTAAAAACACTAATCCCTGGGCCGGCCCGGCGGCGCACTGTGCGCCGCTTGTGAGCGCGGCGGTGCTCCCACTGAGGGTTCAGATCCCACATACAGACCGGTTCCCGCTCACTGGCTGAGCGAGGTGCGGGTGCAACACTGAGGGTTGTCATCCCGTTGCCGGTCCTGGTCCGGTACGGGCGCGACACTGAGGGGTGCGATCCGTTGCCGGACACGAAAAAAAACAAAAAGGGGAAAAAAAAAAACAAAAAACACTAATCCCTGGGCCGGCCCGGCGGCGCACTGTGCGCCGCTTGTGAGCGCGGCGGTGCTCCCACTCAGGGTTCAGATCCCACATACAGACCGGCTCCCGCTCACTGGCTGAGCGAGGTGCGGGTGCAACACTGAGGGTTGTCATCCCGTTGCCGGTCCTGGTCCGGTACGGGCGCGACACTGAGGGGTGCGATCCGTTGCCGGACACGAAAAAAAACAAAAAGGGGAAAAAAAAAAACAAAAAACACTAATCCCTGTTTTATAAAATATAAGGCTATTATCTCTTGCTTTCTTCACTGTACCAGTGCCTTACACATTGCAATAAAAAATGTCTGGTTTTCGGTCAAACCTAAACAAGAATTTTAAAGTTTTAGTATTATTTATTTATTGTCCTGTTTAGAAAGGGAATCAAATTTGTTCCCTCAGTTGAAATATATTCTTCTACGTTCTATGCCTTTTCAACTCTAACAGCTACAGGAATTGTGTTTCCTTCATTGCTGCATCAATAATCCACATGAACTGGAAACTGGAACATCAGTATTCCATCACAGTCATTCCACCTCTTGCATTAGCTACAGAAAGACAGGTTTGCAAACAAAGCCAACTTTCAGGAACATTCAAAAGCAGCTTATAATATCAAGCCTTCTCTCACCTTTCCTTGAAATGACATTATGTCAAAAAAAAGTAAGAGATAATACGCCAAACGTGAAATCTGTTTTATACTTTTTTTTTTAATACTTCAAGGTATAAACAAGATTTATTCCTGAAAACTGCTTATGGAGGGGGAAAAAAAATCCGTAAAACCCTACTTGTAAACTTCCACTATAAAGTGGGGATAGTCCTATAGAAAATTTTAGACACAAACATAAAAACAGAGTTTATTTTTATAAAAATAGAGCATGTTTTAATCACATATTTAAATCACTAAAGTTTCACATAATTGCAATTCCTTATCTTCAGTGGAAATTACAATTTCCTGAAAAAAAGAACTGTGATCACCATTTGAGGTACTGGCTTTTGAAATAAAGGGCCAAGAGAATGACTGACGTAACTGCTTCAAGTTCCACAGTCAATAAAGGACAGCCACAAGATTCCAAAGGTACCTGCTATTTTTAATGACTTTTCCTCTTGCAAAATTTCAACTACAGCTGACCACACCACCAGCTCCCCTTAGAACTTCAAGGACTGGGGGAAGGAGAGTGCTCACTAATAAAAAGGCTAACCTCATTTAGTGATGATGATGGAAGGTGACCCACCCTGTACATCAAGACTTAGTCATTATATGAGGGGCACTGCCTGTCTAACCTCAGTGAAGTTCTTATTTCAAAAAAAATGAAAGTTCTAGTGTGACACGGGGGAAAGAACTCTAGTATTAGGGTTACAAAAAGCAAAAAGAGAAAAGCAAATTCTATAAACTTAAATTTCCAGATTTAAATTTTAATTCACTGGTTTGTAAATTGAAATATCTGCAAAACTCTCTCTGATTACCTTATACCTCTCAAGCATCCTGGACCAGGATCAGTAAGAAATCTGAAGACCTCTATTCAAACCACTGGTGTTCCTGGGCAGATTACTTAGCCTCCTTGAACGTCAAGGTCTTCTCTAAAATGGGGGTTAACACACTACCTTTTAATACAAGGCTGTCAAAAATATTAAATGAGAATACACCTAACAGCAAATTCTAAATCACTACTCAAAAAACCCCCCCCCAAAACAAAAAACTTTAAAGGCAGTGGCCAAATCATTATTATGTAAGTTCGTACTAATTTTAAATTCCAGATAGATCAGTACCTGCTTGTTTGGAAACGCTCTTATGCAGCGAGTCTGGTATTTCAAGCTGGACTCCCTGCGCTGCTGCACGTAGCCCATGTTCCGTAAATCCCACACCAACACTCTGCGGCCTGCTGTTCCCACAATCAGCCGGTCACCAGACACTGAAAGGGTATACACCTTTAAAGAAAGATCAAAATTTGCTGAAAATCACCTACTTGCCTGAAAATGGCATTTTGCCCCAAAATGAAGTTTATCTAATCATAAAACCATTAAAAAGTTATCTGATCAGGATCCCAAACACAGGTACCAACTTTAGATACTGCAGTTATTCAAACCAATTCACACAAAACAGCAAACACACGATATTCTTAATACTTCACCAAGTATCATATAATGTACATTCTAATTAATTTTGTAAAGGCACTTTTAAAGACTTAATTCTCTTCATTACTGAAACAAACAACTTTTCCCAGCCTCCTCCTTTTTATTTAGAGATGGCAAAAGTGTTTATAAAAACACTCAAAATGAAAAAACAAAGCTAAAAAATAATTCAAGACACCTTTTGATAGGTTTCTTTTTCAAAGACAATCATTTTCAAATTTTATTTTTCTTGCTTTTCATAAAACAATCATTTTCAAAGTTATCATCTATGACCACCTTTTGAAAGATTTCATTTTGCAACTCTGAAAATCTCCATTTCTCCCAGCTGTTACACTGAATAAATAGGCCTTTCCGGGAAGAGTAAGGGACCCATCATTAATTAGCTGTTTAGTTGCTTTTGATGGCATACAAACTCAAAATTAAAAGATAAGGACAGTGGTCTGGCATATGACAAAGAGAATTCTTGTGCCCTGACGTCACAGCAAACATTCAAGACAGAAGTTCATCTTTAGGAATATTAAAAAGCATTTTATTCCTTAATAAAATAGGTGTCTATTTTCCCCCTCATAATGCCTTTTCTTCAATAATAAAATCCATAAAAATTCCTAAATCATAGAATTTCCTGCAAAGATTTAATAGTTTATTTGCAGATATAATATTACTTGGAGACAAAACAGAGGTAGCAAATTCATAAAAAAAGGTGACAAACAATATTTTCCTAATCATGTTGTCATTTTTTTAATCTAGACTTGAGATGCATAACTGTGCTCTGGTTATTATTTTCAAATATAAGCAGCTCCAACTTAATTTGACCTAATATTTTCAAATCTGAAGAACAGCTATAACAAATGCAGAGAGGCCCCAGGAAATGGTAAGACATCTCCTTAACATTCAGTGATTAAACCTTATGGTTAAGTCAGTAGTATGTTAACTACAAACCACCAGCTGAAGGACCAAGTTAGGTTTCACTACACTATGCCCCAACAGTCTCTTCAATCTGACCTTAAAATTCAACAACTAATGTGACTAAGGGAAAAACAAGGAATTAAAAAGATTCAAAGCAACAGATTTAATAAGCAGATTTAAATATGACAAACAGCATAATATTTATCATAGTTTATTCAGAAAACAAAACATTTGCAGAAAAAATGAAAATTAATCTAAGACATATGAACTACCAAACTTAAAAGACACAGAATCCAGAAAGAGATCAATTTATAATGGTACAATTTTATCTTAAATCTTTACTATACAGGTGACATGCAAGCTTCTAATAGTGCTCTCTATCCCTACTGATCATAAATCAAGTGAAACCACTGTCATCCTACTGACTAGGTATATACATTTATCAAAGAAAGTATTAAAAAAAGTGACATAATGAACCTTGCTGAACCAATAAGCAGCTTGATTCAGTGTGGCTGTCCATTACATGATATTCTGTCTGCAATTTATCACAGTTCTTAACATGTTACATACAACCATAAATCAAAACTAGAAACAATGCAATTATTTTATTCTGAACAAAGGTCTTGCCAGGAGTATATTCAACTGTGATGTGACAAAAATAATGGCTCTGGATGCACCACTGTATATAATGATAGCTAACAGGAATTGAATAGTATATTTACACTGAGGAAATATACTCAAATGAAGGATACCTTTAAACTGCTAGAACGATCAATCTTTAAAATTAACTACCACCTGATAAAGTCTGATGAGGATACAGCAAAAATTCTCAATTACACTTTCATCAGACAGATCAAAAGGTTAGAATAAATACACGAAGTTTCGGTTTGCAAAAGCTTCATTCAGAGTAAGAGCCTTCAAACTACATCTCTCAGCATTAAAAAAAAATAAACACACAAACAGTAAAAGCCAGGGAACACAGGGCACCTTTCCCACTAAACTTGAAATAACCCATTTTGTGCTCTTAACAGTCAACTCAAATGAAACCTCGGGTCACAAATGAAAATGAGTGATGCTCCATCCATTTTCCCGTTTGGGCATGTCAAACCCAATTTAAGACAATCGAACAGTCTGTGCTAAATTCTCTGAAAAGGCAGTGAGTTGCTCCTCAGTCCTGAAATTTAAAGCACTGACAATACAGATAAGCAGGTTCATTTAAGCTAGCATTCTCCAGTACAAGTGGACAGAAAAAAGGTGACCAAAATCCCAAAGTTAATTTTCCTTTGCATTAAAGCATTTCTATGTAGTAGGGTTTATAAAAGACTCTTTTGTCAACTCAACCTCTAAATTCAACATCATATTCATCAAACACAATTCCTGTGATGAATATAAAGAGCCTACCTTTTCAGGCTGAGAGAAGGTCCCGGCATTACAAGGAGTTCTGGGATCCCACAATTTAACTGTCTGATCCCAACTTCCAGTAACCATCACATTCACTTCCGGACAGTATTCGACACATCTGATAGGGGCATCATGGGTTCCAACAAGATTTTCTACAGGAGAAAAAAGGGGTGGGGGGAACCAACACTTAGCTTTACTAACATCTACTAAACAAAGATTCCTCAAATTAATTAAAGGAAACATTCATTCAACTGTAATGAATCCACCTTATCCAACTCTATGGAAATGGCTGCATATAAGAAAAATCTTTCCATGACTACAAGAAGTTTTCCTTTCCTCTCTGTTCACCTTACAGTGCAACTTGATTCACTAGCATGGTACATATCAAAGGCTGCCGTGAATTACAGCCTACGTTAAAACAGTGGCATGTCTGTTATTTTCCTGACTTAATTCCAGATTTCTTACAGAAACCCTGTTTACTTCTGTACCTGTGCCTTTACCTATATAAGATCTGGTACATGCTAGGTGCTCAAGAAATATCTGTTGAATGAACAAAGGAGTGAAGAACTCTGGTCTTCTGGATTTCAACAACACTTATCTTGAACATTAAACCAATACTTATAAGAAACTTATTTACATGATTACAGGATTATGAGAGCTGGGGGTGAAGTCCTACAATTATTCCACTTCGTTTTCACAGTGGATCAAATTTCCAATACACAACATCTTTCAGTTTCAACCTTCACATTCTCAGTTATTCATTCAACTAACATCTACTAAATGTTTACTATGTGCCAGAATTTGTGCCACCTGCCAAGGATAAAAGAATGAACAATATATGGTCTTGACCTTTAAACAGAAATGCTGCCTTTTTAAAAATATATCATTTAAACAAGAAAGGAAAGTATCTCATGAAGTTTGGCACTGACCTTCAGAGTAAACAGATAATTCCCTAATTTACAGTCTATAATGCCAAAAATCTTTAACTTTAAAAAAAAAAAACCTTAAGTTTGCTTTTCAGTGTTCTTTGCCCCCAAGTCTTCAAACAAATAGGACCTAAACCTGCAAGCTTACTTTCTATACAGGGTAAGCTACAATACTGGCAAACAAAACTAAACATTTAAATGAGAAAGTGACTTTCACGCAAAATCCTCCTGATTGAGTGGTTGTTTTTGTTTGTTTGTTTGTTTGTTTTTGAGAAAATGTGCCCATTCTCTTGTCCAACTCATTCTCCATCTAGTCATATATCTGTGCCCTGCCATCTCCTTAAGTACATGTTTGTCTAATGTACACACAAACATGCTCAACTACAGAGCTCTGTGCATTTGGGTTCCATTCCAATCTCTCCTTGGCCCTAATATCACCATGAAAGTTTGGATAAGTCATTTCATATCTGGGCCTCTAAAAAATTACTTATCTAAAATAAAGTGTGCCATCTTGACATTCATTCAATAAATGCAATGGAAACATACTCTACTGCTAAATAACTATACAATCAGGATTAACATAAACACGGTTGGCTATCTTACGATGCTGGGTTTTTAAAAACCACTATGGGATCAAGTCCACTTCTAAGGATAACGTAAAAGACAAATAATTAAGCATCATTTCATGTAAACTTTATTTTTATTTTACTTTTTTTAAAGATGACCGGTAAGGGGATCTTAACCCTTGGCTTGGTGTTGTCAGCACCACGCTCTCTCAAGTGAGCTAACTGGCCATCCCTATATGGGATCTGAATCCGGAGCCTTGGTGTTCTCAGCACCACACTCTCCTGAGCCTCAGGTGGGCCCCATGTAAACTTTAGAATGGTGATCATAATGGGCTTTACTGCAAAAATACATGCATAATGTTTTGTGATCATTAACTTAATGGTTATTTAAATTTTTTAAAAAATTCTAAATTCAGCCACTTTAACATGCATCTATGCAGCTAAGCAATCAATTCAGGAACTACTCTTCCTAAATAAACATTCATATCCTAGTTCCTTAGCCAAGGAAACAAACTGGTAAAAATGTGGTCATGTTACCTTGATCAGTGTTCAAATCATGCATTTTCAATTGATGATCTAATCCTCCACTCCAGGCATGTGTTGGATCCTACAAAATAAAATGTTAAACCATTTAAAACGTACAGAATATTTCAAAATTCCTATTCCCACAACCAACTGTTCAGTTTATGCTCAGGATGATACGCACTGAGCTCACCTACTCATTGTAAACAAGTAAAAAAAAAACAGCACAAAAAAGCAAGCCAGTGTTCACAAAAACTACTATATTGGCAAACTGAGGGCTGCTTTATCCCATTCATCATACTAGCTGATAGTAAGTAGCCATCCTTGATAACCAAATTAATCTTGCTGCAAATTTAAATACAATTATCCTACGTCCAAAAAGATTTCAGGGTTACTCCATATGCCTGAACTTGAACGAGAAGAGTTTCCAACGTTTGTTTGCATGTCCCCAACGCAAAAAATGGTACCTGGCACAAGACAGGTGTTCCGGATAAAGCTAAAGAACTGTGCAAATAACTCCACCAACAGAAGCCTCTATCCCATACTGGCACAGGCCCGCTACTAACACGGGATATCATAATACGGTAGGAGAACAGGAGCGGAAACTGAGGACACCTACGTAGAACGCACAGTCCAGGACGGCGCCGGTGTGCTGGTACTTGAGCCGCATGGAGTTGGCCGGCACATCGTAGAGGCGCACGGACGTGTCCCAGGAGGAGACCAGCAGGAACTGGGAGGTGTTGGGGCTGAACTTCACCGAGGAGATGCCATCCTCGGGTGGCTGGTTCAGCTTGAACTCGTTAGAACCGGTCATCTGCAGAACAAGCACCCGGTGAGTCCCCAGGGGTGCTGGGGTCGGGGGTCTGGGAGTGCCGAAGGCCCGGTAGTGGGGGGCTCCAGGGAAGGGAGCCCGGAGGACGTTGGTGAGGAATCTCTGCGCTTGCGCGGAGCCTGCGCCCGCCACCGCCGGGACCCGCCGCCCGGCGCCGGGGCCATGGCATCCCATCCCCCGCCGCCGCACCGCCAACCCCAGCC